TGTGTTGTGGGGATCGAACCACAGCAACCTGAGCCTGACTGCTTTGTTGAAGCAGCCACTTAAAGAACTGAGCTAAGGGGCAGGCCCCCTAAGGATTTTTTTTTTTTTTTTCTCGAATGCCTTCAGGGCACTTTTGGCCAGTGGGAGAGGTGTGAGGTTCGAACTCCAGCAACCTGAGGCTGACAGCTTTGTGGAAGCAGCCTCTTAAAAGGCCTGAGCTAGGGCCAGGCCCCCGCCTTCTCTTGTTTAATGATGTGTTCAACCACCACTTTAGTTTATTAAAATAATTTTGGAAACCTTTTAGACATATTTGCACCCACAATATTTGATATTATTATGAATCTGATCATGCTACGTTTTCTATCATTCATTTTCTACATGTGATTCATGTAGATTCATGTGATTCAAAATTATCACAAATTTCTTAGAATCATACATGGGAAGGTCTCTTGGAGCCTGGGCCAAAGGTGGGCTCTTTCGGACAGAATTTGTGGATTTCTGATGCCTGAGAATACTGCTAGCTAGAAACCATTCTAAATTTGCAGTGTTCAGGCCACCTAGGAACTATGAGTTAGGCTACAGATCCACAAAGGCACTAGTTTATGATTGTACATTCTCAGGAAAAATATTTGGCCTCTCTACTCATTCCCAATTTTGAAATAGCCAATTGACCTAAGAAACCCCGGCACAACTCCTCCTTGGAATGCAATTCTTACTGGAAGTGAGAAAGGTCTGTTAGTCACCCTGCTTTGATGGGACCTGGATTTCATCAGCTGGCCCCTGTACTTACAGGAGTATGAAAATCAAGCTCAAGCTTGCCCCATTTGGCAAACAACTTTGGAAGAAAGCTAGCTTTTGTGGTCTGCCTACCAGGCAAAGTTACCGATTTGGTTTTGGTTTCGGCTATTGCGTATTCCTTATTAATTTTACAGCTCATCAGTGCACCTTGAAAGATTTAAAAATGATCTTCTCTGGTATTAAGTTGCTGAGCCACATGGCCAGAAATGGAAGTGCACCTATGGGGTCCTTGGAGGAAACTCGTGGATACCTGCCTTGGGAAGTCTGGCTCCAGATGCTGGCTTTGCTTTAAGCTCCTCCAAGTGCCTCAGCGCTTCTGCATATCCAGTTAATTCCGTAGCCTCTTATTACTGAGCCCTGTACTCCCGAAGCCCCATGGGGCTAACGCCCAGTTATTTTTCAGTATATCCACTTACTGTCAAATAATGGAAATTCAGGCTGCCCACCTTACAGTCCGTGGTGTTTCCTGGTTTCTGTTTTCTTTGCTTGGGGAGGCCTTGGGGTAATTTTTAAAATCTTCTCCCCTGGGTACTCTCACTATCTGATTGCTTCTGTCTCACACATTCCTCTGGGAGTGGGAGTGGCACACGACATTCCATACTAGGTGAATGACTTGCTAGTCTTAGAAATTCTGCCTCTTCTTTCCCATCCCAGGCTCCTTAGATAGCCCGCGAAAGAAGAGCAGCACTGGAACTATGCTTAACAGCAGCAGGGCAGATTCAGCATCCAGCCTCCCTCTATAAGACTTGAGGTACATTATGGCTCTGTCTAGAGGTCCTCCCAAAGCCTCTTGTGGTCATGAGTGGGGCTTTTTCAGAGGTGGCTGGATCTGGAGTGTGTGACGCTGGAATTGATTCCTGGTGCAATGCTAGGCTCAAGGGCCCTGGGATTAAGGGTGTGAGCACTACCTAGCCTAAGCAGCCTAGATAAGATAAAAGAGGCAGACAGATGCTACTAAGAACTCTTGTTGCTTTTTGCAGTCTTCTGCTGGCCATGAACTTGATTCTCTGTGTTGTCACTCTGCCAAGCCACCCTGCCTTGGAGTCAGTTGATGATGGCCTGCAACCTCTCACCCTGTGAGCCTGTGAGCCAAATAAATCTTTCCTCCTTTGAGTATTCAGTATTTTGTCTCAGCGATGAAAGATAAGCAACTAAGACAAGAGGTTTATGTTTTTCTCTCTCTTTAGAATGAAGAACTTAATTTTCCATTCTGAGTGCTGGTCACCAATTCCAGGATAACACAAAAAGTTCCTCTTACTGCCTCTTAGTAATAAGTGATTCCATGCTGCTTTGCTAATTCAACAGTTCCTGTCACTCAAAGTAAAATTCACACTGCTTTTTATGACCCCCCCCCCAATCAGGTGCTATCCAGTCTACCTACCCTTTTCTTTTTCCCATAATTTTATTGAGAGACAAATAGCAATGAGACAGTTTCAAATCAAATTGGTATGACAGTTTCAAAAATGTACAAGTTGCAGACATGGTATCCTATTTACAAACACTATTACAACAAATCCCTCTTCATTAAGAGAATGTAACTATATTTATCTATCCTAACCATTTTGAATACACAGGTACAAAATGGACATTCATCTGTATCCCCTTTTTTGTTTAGTTCCATCATTTGAATATTATAGGTATGTTAACTCAGCAAAATATTCTAAAAGAGTCCAGTAGTCCATAATAGTATTGGGTCTTCCTGTTGACTGGCAGTGTCAGAAACTGTTGACCTGAGTCCCCTACAGCTCAACATAACAGCATGGCTTTACTTCTTAAACTTCATTTTTATACTTTAATGCTGGATGGTTAAGACCAAGGTAAAGCAAGACCTATGCAACAAGAGTTGTAGCTTTTGGATCTGATAAGGTCAGTCAAATCCCCTCAGGATTTTTCCTGAGATCCTATACCTGAGATTGTAGATCCTTTGCCCTATCTTTCTTTTTTTTTTTTTTTAATTATTTATTTATTTTTATTTATTACATTTATTTATTGTGTGTGTGTGGCCAGCTCAGCCCACCAGGGGGCGGGGCTGGCTGGCATGTGGTGCTGGGGGATCGAACCGCGGTCCCTGTGCTTTGCCAAGCTTGTTTCAAGTAGGTGCTTTAGACCACTGAGCCATCTCTCCAGCCCCTTTGCCCTATCTTTCTTAATTTTCTTCCGTTCTCTCTCTCCTTTTTCCTCATGTTGCTATTAGGCATTGCAGCAGGGATCTAGAAACTGGACCTGCAGAGGCCCAATGGGTAACTGAAGGCACAATAAAGCTTGACATCTCTAAATTCACTTTATATCTGTCTCCTTTATTACCTTAAAACTTTGGGTCAGATCCCTTTTCAGCTGTGCATGTAGGCACATTAATCATTTGAATCATGTCTATCTAAAAAACTACTTATGCAAGGTTTATCAACCCCAAATTCTCCTAGCCTATTGCATCCTCCCTTAAAGACTTAAGATTTTAAGAATAAAGTAATTTTCAGTATTTGGAAGGACATCCAAGAGACAGCTTTTACAATATCCTATTATTTATTTATTTATTTATTTATTTAGATAGTGTCTCACTTTTAATTCAGTCTGGCTTTGAATCCAAGGCAATCCTCCTGCCTCAGTCTCTTGAGTGCTGGGATTACAGCCATGTGCCACCATGCCTGGCTTAATGTCTAGTTTTAGATCCCTTGCAGGAATGTCTCAAAGTCACCAGTCCTTATCCAAAGCCTGTATTCATTCTGAATTTCAGGAAAAGCAGAACCTTGCAAGCCATCCATTGCTAAGCCCTACTACCCATCCACCCAGGCTGATGCTGTCATTTCAAAGAAACACTCCTGAGATAGTGACTGACCAGGCAACAGCCTGACTAGGATCGCCCATGTTGCCAGGGATGTAACCCCCAAACTTTGCCTTTGTTCTTCTTTTCTATAAAACCCCAAGGTTTCTGTCAGCCCCTAAAAGACAGATCTTGAACATTTTTATATGTCCTCTTGGCATGGACTGTCCTTCACAACTGCTCCTGATTGGTGTTTTGGAAACTACATTCCCTAGCCTTTTTTTTTTTTTTAACCAAGAATCAAACTCGAGACCTTGTGCTTGCCAGGTAGGCATTTATGCTGCTGAGCTATTTCCCTGGTCCCCTAGTCTTTTTTGAGACAAGATCTTGCTAAAGTCCAAGTTATCAAATGTACAATCTTATTGCCTCAGCTTCTCCAGTAGCTGGGATTACAAACATGCCACAACAGAAGCAGAAGTCATTACTTCTTAATATCAACATCCTTCATAAAGCAATGCAACACCAGGTACTTTCATTTGCAATCATTTTCCACCTTGTCAGTGTGTGATGCTCTAAGGTTAAGAATTCAAGACTGAGGCCTCGCCTGGTGGCACATGCTTGTAATCCCAGCACTCTGGGAGGCCAAGACAGGAAAATTGCAAGTCTGAGCCTAGCCTGATTTAGCAAGTCCTTGTCTCTCACTTCCTTTCCTTCCTCCACATCCTCCAAGGTTAGGAAATTTAGATTGACTTTTGTGATCTAAAAATCTGATAGTTATATCTAAAAGTTCATCTATCTTTGCTTTGACATTTTCTGTCTATTTATGGCTTATTCCAACCACCAAATCCTGAGCAATGGGATACCAAGAAATGAAATAACATGGCAGTAGCAATTTGGTTTGGTCACTGCTTCGATCACATACTTTCGTTTCTTTTTTCTCTCCATTAAAATTAAGTATTTCATGGAGTATCATGGCTATACTAAATGTAGTTCAGGGAGTTTCAAGAAAGTCCAAAGCTTTGGTTATGACCCATGGGTGGCCTTACTTCCTGTCTTATTCTTGCAGCTAAAGGCAGGACCCGCAATTATCTTGTTGCTATGTTTACGTTTTGTCGTCAGCCTTTGTCCACGGGCGCCTTCGTCAACCCATATTCGTATCCCACTACGAGCAACATGACCTTAACATGCAGAAGGTGCTCAGTCATTAAACCGACAGACAACTATTTAAACTATATGGGAAAAATAAATAAATAAACTACAACCGGTCTTCCTCAACACTCATCGTGGCGTGCTACACAGCGCCCCTAGAGGCTGTTTTTATAGGGCTTGAGCGCGAGGGATTCTGGGTAGTGTGGTTCGCGAGCGCGGCGTGGTTTGGGAGGCGCTGGCGTGAGGCTCCGCGCGCGCAGGCGCACTTCTGGGTTTGCCCCTCCGCTGCGGCCATTGTCCACCCCCCGTTGCGGCGGATACCGCTTTTGGGCATCTGGCATCTTCTCTCTTCTGAAAAGAACCAGAGAGAGGAAGTCTGCAGCCAGGACGGGAGGGGCCAGCCCGAGGCCCTGGGTGGGCTCGAGGTCGCCAATCCGGAGCCGCCGGGAAGCGGTGATTCCACAGTGCCCGGGTCGGGCGGCACCTCGCGGGTTTGGGGGCCTCGCCCAGCGCTTGCGGATGGGACTGGGCGTGGCCGGAGGGGACCGTCCCCTACACTCTGGAGGCTCGCCTCTGGGCGTGCGGGAGCGGCGGCCAGGGGCGGGGCCTGCGCTCCGCGTCCTCCAGCAGCACGGTGGCCGAGGGGGGCGGCTGTCGTGGGCAGCCCAGTGAGCACCCTCTTGTTTCTCCGCAGTCCCTGTCCCGGAGCCTCCCCGCGAGACAGGAATGACCCTCAGGCCGCCCCCCGCCGCGCCCCAGGTGAGCCGCGCGTTTGGATCCGGCTGAAGCCCCGGGACCTGTTGGGGACAGTTATTGTTCTATTAGAGATATCCGGTCTTGACTCGTTTGCTCCCTCGGAGGCTCCGAACCACGTGAAAGCCCAGCATGCCCCGAGCTGGGCGGTGCGGGATTCCTAGCGGAGGTGGTAGGCACATGTGCGGGTAGACCACACAGAGCAGCGTGTTCGTGGGAGAGGAGCTAAGGCTGGATGCGTTGGAAGTGTCAGTGCTGAGTGCAGTGGGGGGCTCCTTCTTTGAACTCCTGTCACTGAGGAGTGGAGAGGGTGGGGTGACAAGGTAGAAGTTGTAGAGGGAAAAGTGAATGCCCATCGGTGAGTGTGGAGGGGAGTCCCAGCTTCGGGGGGACAGCCGTGGAGAGACCTTAGGATTCAGAAGAAGTTTGGTCAGAATAGGGTTAGGCGGGGCTGGCAGTAGGCTTTCTGGGCGATGGGCAAGGATAACAGATAAAGAAACCAGGACTGACCTGCCCCAAGCTTTTCATGTCCTTTTCTGCTGGGTTTGTTGTTTTTGTCTTTATACTGGGGACTGTACCCACAGCTTTCACACCAAGCTACATACCCAGCTCTTTATTTTGAGACAGGGTCTCACCAAGTTTGCCCCGTGGGACCTGAACTTATGATCCTCCTGCCTCAGCCTCCTACTCCTTTTTTGCTTTAACAAATACATACAAGTGTATAGCTCTAGAAGTCCAGACTTCATTTTGGGTTGATTTGTGTCTATTTTTTGTGGTACAGGGGACATTTTTATACAGATACTGCAACTCTGACATAGTCCATTGATGTACACGAAGTATGTCATTGAAAATATAAAATCTAGATGGCATTTGGATCTTTTAATCCATACTCTCTTTAGAATTAAGGAAAAATTGGGCCCGGGGAGGTACCTCAGCAGTCTAAGTGCCTGGGAAGCACAAGGACCTGGGTTCGATCCCTGGCACCACATACCATGTTGCCGTGCCTGGCATGGTGAGGCACACCTGTAATCCCAGCGCTGGGGAGGCTGAGACAGGAGCATCACTACGAGCCCGAGCTGTGTAGCGAGACCTTGTACCAAATAAATAAAATATAAGATTTTTTAAAATTAAGGAAAAATTACAAGTCACAGCGGGCCAGTGAGATACCTCAGCCATCAAAAGTGCCTGCTTAGGCAAGCCTAGGCAGGCACAGGGAATAGTGGTTCGATCCTCAGTACCACATGCTGTGCCAATTCCACCCTCAGGGTGGGATGAGCTGGCCAAAACAACAACAAATTAAAAGTCACAGTTACTAGGTGTGTGATACAGTTGACATCAATCCCAATAAAATACCAGTAATATTAAAAGCAGCAATAAATTAAGCATACACAATATATAATACATATATCTTGAAAAAAATGTTTTTATGTATTTGGTACAGGGACTAACTATGCAGCTTGCACTGATAGTGATCTTCCTGTTTGCAGCCTCCCTAGCACTGGGATTACAGGTGGTCTAGGTGGCCTGCTCAGGGTGCCTGGGGGTAGGGCTATCACGGCATGTGGTGCAGGGGATTGAACCCCAGTCCCTGCGCTTGTCTAAACATGTGCTTAGTCCACTGAGCTGTCTTTTTTTTTTTTTTTTTAATGTATCAGGTATTTAATTAGGTTCTTAGTAAGAAATTTAGAACACCAATTTATGAGGATAAATTCCATTTGTCAGAGCAAAAACGGATCGCAGGTAGCCCTGGAGCTGAGGAACACCTTTGATTTTTGCCAAAATCTGTGAGCACCACTTTCTGATCCACCTTGCGCTGCTCTGAAATCTGGTATCTCTCTTTCTCCGTGTCGAAGATCTCGCCCTCCTGGTGTCTGGGCTTTTGCAGCTGCTTCTTCTTGAAGTAAGCATCAGTGAGGTGTTTGGGGATTTTTACTTTGCTGATGTCAATTTTTGTAGAGGTGGCAATGACAGATTTCTGGTGTGTTCTTCGTAGAGGAACATGATTAAGGCTCAGAGTCCCAGTCACAAATAGCAAGCCACTCTCCAACTGCTTCAGGAACACCACTCTCTTGCCTCTGTGACGCCCAGTGAGGATGATCAAGATGGAGCCAGGAAGGATGCTAGCTCGAAGTTTCCTCACACGCTGGCTGAAGGGTTTCTTGCCATGGCTTAAGAGCTTTCGGGGCACATCTTCAGTAGGGTAGTATCTAGGCATTTTTCGAAGCTTCAGCCCCCGGCTACCTCCATTCTTGTCCCCACCGACCGGTTTTGTGATCATAGCAAAAACTTACTCCTTTTTCTTCTCAACCTTTGACTTAGCAGCTGTGTACTTTCTATTGTACAAAGCCTTTCTGGAATACATAGCGGATTGGGAGTATCTACCAATTCCTCTAACCAGGACAGGATTTCGGCTGCAGTGGGGCTGCCCCTTCTTGGACTTTTTTGCCTTCTTCACCTTAACGTTTTTACCAGTACCACTGGCAGAAGCCTTCTGGGCTTCAGGTTTCTCCTCTTTAGTGTCTGGCTTCTCAGTTTTTTCACCCGCCATCTTGCAAGATGGGAAAGAGCCACTGAGCTGTTTTGATGGCCCTTAATTATTTGTTTTATAGGAATGAGCCTTAAGGAATAAAGCAAGGTTGGTTTGTAGAGGCAGAGCAAATTACTGTCATGGTCACCTTTACACACAGTGTTCCCTCAGAAGGCTGTGAGAGTTGGGATGACTTAATGCCTCATTTGGAGAAATGGTCATTTTAGGAGGATAGTTGTCTTTTTTAGTCGCAAAAGTGGATGTGTTTTGAGCAGTGAATTTTAGGGATCGCATTGAACTTCACGTTTGCAGCCTTGTTTCATAAGTACTCTGACTCAGTTATGTTGCCCTGGAATTATTTGATGGTTCCCTTATCTAACACAAACTGCAGGTATCCATCAGAGATGAATGACAGAACAGAACACTGGCCCTACAGTGGGACTTTTTAGGTCAGAATTTCCCTTTGTCACTAGTTCCCTTCTCTAGGCATGGTCTTCAGGGTAATGCAAAACTGAGTAATGAGTCACTTGACTGCTACTGGCTGACAGGCATTAGGGATGAACAGCCCAGGCAGAAGGATTAGAGAGTTTGCTCAGAGTTCAGAGAGGGGGCAAAAAAGCTGTTTGTGGGAAGGAATCAGTCCTTTGAATAAGCACAGAGTCTAAGCAATGAAAATGAAGGGGTTAGCAATAGAGCTGACTGAACTATCAGGACAGTTGAAAGACAAGATGTGGGAACATATTCAAGAAATGTTCTCTGTGACAGCAGGTGGTATGGGTTACTGATAATAGAAAGGAGTTTGGATTTCTTTGATTCGTTCATTCATTCATTCATTCATTCAAGAGACAAGTCATTGAACCCTTATGTCACATAATTGTCTAGGCACCTGGGGAACTTTAGTGAACAAAATTCCTAAGTGTTCTTATGGCATTTCTAGAAATGAGAGAGAAAATTCAATATGTGTGTTTTACAGTATGTTTTACAAGAGTGTAGTTTTAAATAGAATGGTCAGGGCACTGAAGCCTTATCCCCACTGAGATGGTGACCTCTGAGCAGACCTAAAAGGTGCTGAAGGAGTCACAGATGCAGCTGTCTGGGGAAGAACATGGTGGAAAGAGGGAACAGACTCAGTATGTCTGGTACATTCAAGGAGCAGCTTGAACTGATAATTTTAGGCAGGAAATTAGTGTAACTTTTGGTTAGATATAAAGATTACCATACATGATGAAACACAGGGAACTGTTAGGAAGTTGGAGCTTTCTTAGAAGTTTTGATGAGTAGGACCTTGCCCCCAAATGTAGTTAAAATATCCTTTCACAAGAATGGTTGCCTTTTTTAGTGGTGAAAGCAGATGTGTGTTTTGAGCAGTAAATTTTAGGGACCATGTTAAACTTCACATTTACAGCCTTGTTTCCTAAGTGCTCTGCAGTGGTTCTGCCTGAAGAAGAGAAAGTGGAAGAAGTGGAATGTGCTCTTAGTCATTGGCATCATAGGGATCGTTGGCACCTGCATCTGTGTAAACACAGCATTCTTGTTCACGTTTTCCCATTATGTATGTACTGCAGTTTTAGTTACAGAGGAGAAAGGTAGCTCTCATGAAGATCAGGTTTTGCGATATTTTACCTTGATAGGGAAGATACGCAGAGGGACCAAAGTCTGGCCTCTGTTGACTTCAGATCCTAAGAGCTCTGTAGTTAGATCATAATGAAAAACAAACCCAGTAAAACTTGGCTCAGGTCATCCACCTTGAGACATAATGCTTCTGGGTCGGGGCTGGGGAGATGGCTCAGTAAAATAAGTGCTTGCCTGGCAAGCAAAAGGGCCTGAGTTCAATCCCTGGTTCTGCCAAAAAAAAAAGACTCAAAACCTCATGGGCCTGCCATTAGCTCAGGTGTTTCAGGCTCAGTATGCTTTGGTTCAATTCCCTCATCCTCAAGCCAAACCAGACCTGCCCTGATGGCATCCTGTGCCACCCTCACCCCAAAAAATAATGCTTCTGGGTCACCAGGGGAGAGCAAGCCTCTTGCTAAATCAGGTCAGGGCACTTGTGACCAAGGACACGAGAGCTCCCTCCTCCAGAGGTCCTCCTTCCCAGCCTTCTGAGCTGACTAGAGCTGGTGTGTGAGCCTCACTCAGGTGCATCTTCCCTACAGTGAGGTCGCAGGCCCTTCTCCACTCCCAGAGTCCGTGACAGTGCTGTTTTCACATCCTGTGTGGTGGCATGCTTACCAACTTGTCTCTGTACCAGGCTGTGAGTGCCTCTAGGGCAGGGCTGTCCAACTCCTTTTTCCCTTGTTCCAGAGTAAACATGAGGTGAGAATGGATTATATGAGGGGATATTCAAAACAACTTGACCCCTGGCAGCACTTCTACATTTTGTGTTCCTCATGTAGCAGAAAGTATATTTTCCAGTTGCAGTGACCCTAATTTTGTGGTACAGTTATAGCATGAGGCAATGTTCCTTGCACTGAACAGCTTTTAAATTTTTGTCCTTAAAAATGGTATTATCCAAACCTGTTACATTGAGGCTGATTTCAAAAATAAGAGTCTTTCCCTGACTTTTCTGTGTTGTATTGCTTTCACTTTATTAAAATAGACTTTATTATGAGTATATATACATATATATGTATATATGAAAATAGACATTTTCCCCTCTTTTTTTCCTTTAAATTAATTTTTTAGAAAGACTTCTTTCCTTACACTTGGGAAGTTGAATCAGATCTTTGTACATGCCAGGCAAGTGCTCTGCTACTATATTCACAGTCCTTTTTATTTTGAAACATCTGAGTTGTTTAGGTTAGCTTCAAGTGTGTGATCCTCTTGCCTCAGCCTCCCAAGCAGCTGAGACTACAGGCTTGGACCACGTACCATCTTATAGATTTTTTTTAACTTATTTTTTTGGCTTCAATATCTGTTTTTAAATTTTTTTAAACTAATTTTATTTATTTATTTTTTGATGGAACTAGGGATTGAACTCTGGCCCTTGCGCTTGCCAGGGAAGCGCTTATTCCACTGAGCCATCTCCCAGGTCCCACTTGTTTTTAAATTTTAAACAATTGTGGTAAAATACACATAACATAAAATTTACAATCTTAACTCTGTGTGTGTGTGTGTGTGTGTGTGTGTGTGTGTGTGTGTGTTTTACTGGGGATTGAACCCAGGCTCTTATCATTGGCCCTAGCCTTGGCCTATTTTATTTTGAAACAGAGTCTCCACATCATTCTGGCTAGGCTCAAACCCCCAGTCTCCCAGAGTACTAGGATTACAGGCATGTGCTACCATGCCTGGCTAACTCATAATTTTTTTTAGCTTCAAAACTACTCCTTGTTTTCCCACAGCAAGAACTCCCCACCATTTACTTACCAGATACTTTCGGGAGTGCCTGCTGTGTGTTAGGCAGTGGTTCTTTATATTCTTCTTGGGTTTTTTAAAGTATTTTTTTAAGAGAATAAAAATAATTTTAAAAAATTAGAAACAATATAGAATTTCACTAAACAAGATAATAGGAATTCAACAGTGGTTGTTATATTGCATTTGTTGTCATCAAATTAGTTGTTCAGATTATAGATACAAGCATGCAAAATTAGTCAAAAAAGTTTTTTAAAAAAGTAAGCATTAGCTATTCCTTTCAGTAGACCAGTAGAAGTCAACAGTGAGTTATCCAAGCTAGCCTGTGTATATACATATATATTTTTCCCCTTCTTTCTGTTCTCCTTTCCCTCATCCCCTTTGTTCCTTCCCTTTGAGCAGTTTCTTTCCCTTTCACAGTATCTATTGTACCTTTCAGATTTTATTTACTTTTTCAGAGTCTTACACTAGGGAGACAATACAATGTTTACACATGCAGGTCTGACATGTCACATTTGAGTATGGTCTCTAGTTGCATCCATTTACCTATAAAAGCCTCAAGTTTATCTTTTTTATAGCTGAATAGTACTCTATTGTATAAAAATACCACATCTTTTTTATCCATTCTTCAGTTGATGGGTGCTTGGATTGTTTCCATGGTTTCATTGTGACAAATTGCATTGCTATAAACGTTGGGTGCACAGGGCCGGTGAGATAGTTTAGTGGACTAAGCACCTGCTTAGACATGCATAGGGATGAGGTTCTGTCCCAGTGCCGCATGCCGCATTGGCCCATTCCCTAGGCGTGCTGAGCCTGTGATAGAGTCTGGGCTAGGAGGCACACGCCTGTAATCCCAGTGCTGGGGAGGCTGAAAATAGAAGGATCACTATGAGTCCGAGCTGCATAGTGAGACATATTAGATATTTTCGGTTCTTCTGGAAAAATAGCCAGAGGGCAATAGCTAGGTTAAATGGAGCCTCTAGTCATGTTTTTTGAGGAATTTCCATACTGATTTCCATGGTGATTGTACCAGTCTGCACTCCCATCAACAGTGGAGAAGTGTTCCTTTTTCCCCACAACCCCACCAGCATTTGGGTTGATTCCTTGATGATAGCCATTCTTTCTGGGGTGAGATAAAATCTCAGTTTTTTAATTTACATTTCTCAAATAACCAACGATGTTGAGCATTTTTTTCATACATTTGTTTGCCATTTGTATTTCTTCGTCTGAAAAGTGTGTTCATTTTAGATGCCCTTTTTTTATGAGCAGAATATATTTATTGAGGGAAAGAAAGCTCTTGTCCAAGAGAGGGACAGGAGGGGCCCCCTAAGTGGATTGTCCCCAGATGCCCATTTTTTGATTGAGTCTTTAAATTTAGGGGGCACAATATTTAAAAAATTACATGTTCTAGATAGAAGTCCTTTGTCTGAGGGACAGTTGGCTAAAATTTTTCCCAATTCTTGGGTTTTCTTTTTATTCTGTAATTTACAAAGTAAATCATAATTTTCTTTGTAATTTCTCTTTGGTGATTTCTTTTGACCTGCAAAACTTTTCAGTAGGATGAGATCCTAGTTGTTGATTCTTTGAAGTATTTCCTGTACAGTTTGGTTTTTGTTCATGAACTCTCTGACTACCCCTATGTCTTCAAGATTTCCATATACTTTCTCCTCTAGTAGAATTAGTATTTCTGTTTTAATATTTAGATCTTTGGTCCATTTTGATTTTAGTTTGCTGTATGGTGATAGACTTATTTTAGTCTTCAGCATGTGCAGAGCCAGTTTTTCCAGAGGCTGTTCTTTCTTCCAGTGATCCTGTTTGACCCCTTTGTCAAAGGTAAAGTGGCTGAGTCTGTTTGTAGTTGTGTCTGCATCTTCTAATCTGTTCCATTGATCCTCAGGTCATTTT